CTCTAATGCACACCAGTATAGGTGTGTGTATTGTAGGAGCTAGACGACGTATGATGACGTGTGATGGCATGGTAGTGGTGTCCCAATTCTTAGGGGAATATTTTCACCACTACCTTGACCCTCTTGTTTCAAGGGGAAGGGGTAAAAAATAGAATTTGGATTGGGCTTTACTCACCCTCATGTCGTTCCAAATCCGTAAAACCTCTGTTCATCTTCGGAACACAAATTAAGATATTTGTGATGGAACCTGAGAGCTCTTTGATCCTCCCATAGACAGCAAGGGTACTACCACGATCAAGGTCCAGAAACGTAGCAAGAAGATCGTTAAAATAATCCATGTGACATCAGGGGTTCAACCGTAATTTAACAAAACTACGAGAATACTTTTTGTGCACAAAAGAAAAAAAAAAAGACTTTATTCAACAATTCGTCTCCTCCACGTCACCCTAGCGAAAAAGAGTGCGTACGCACAGTCAAGAGCATCCGTACGGTGCGCACATATTTACGCCAAGTTTATTTTTTATAAATCCAGGTACGTGCGTGGAAAACAGCGTACGCACATTTCTATGCCCATTTTGTGTGTACGCAACGTTTATACATGAGGCCCCAGGACTCTTCCTAGAGCTGGCCTCCTGGTAGGGCTGCACGATAAATCGCGATATCGCACTTGCGATGAGGCAAAAGCTGCGATAAGTCCATGTGCATCTTGTTCAGGAAAGTACGGTTCTGTGATCAGCAGTAAATCTCCATCCGAAGGCCAGAGGGCGCTCTCGCGCTGAAACTCCAAATACGCCCTGCAGAAGAAATCCAGGAAATCCCTATAGCGGTAGCTGACTGAACAGAAGGTTTAACTGCTTCATTGATTCAACATGACTAATAAAGACACAACTACAACAATATATGATTTATCGGAGTTCAAAAGTGCAGTTTTTTTTCTCTCCAAAAGTCAGCATGATTACAAATGTGATATTGATTTTATACAATAGTTCAATAAACAAGAAGTTGATGTTAAGAGACTTACGTTTTAGACACCATATTTCCTGTTTTTGCTCTATTTCCCCAACAAAAATCATTCCAAACACAGCCACAGCGCCGTTTTGCGTCTCTGAGCAACATGACGGTGTTTCGTTCCTGAATGAATCACCCGTTTAAATGATTCGGTTCAATCGCAATGACTCACTTATTAACAGTGACTTGCTGCCACCTACTGGCGGTTTTGATGTCACATTTAAGGTACCTTTTCATTTTTTAAATAATTTCAGACATCAGTTTTCAATGTTTTATATTTAAAATATCAAAACATTATTTATGCATTTGTAACTGCAG